CACTTTAGCACTATCGCTGTTTTTGACAGTGTAAATGCATATGTGCACACACATGCAATCTTTTGTTAAGATGATGGGTCTTTCTAGGATTGCAGGTCTTGATTTTTGATTTGAAAGGAAGAGTCAACACTTTGTCTTACATGCTTGGTCTTACATCCTTGCTCCTTTACCTCCTCCCCCTCGGCACTTAATCTTGGTCTGAAGTAGGCGATTGATATATGCTTCCTGAGTAAACGAATGGACTGCACAGCATGTGCTAATGTGCACAAGGAGTTGGGTGGAGGCCTCATTGAATCCTAGCACATCCCATTTTACAGAGAAAGAAACTGAGGCGCAGAGAGAAAGCCCTTCTTTGGCCTGAGGTCGCACCAACTGTGAGAAAGCGAGCTGGAGTCCCACCTCTGAGTCTGGGCAGCAGCCAGAGCCTCACGTTCCCTCTTCCCCACCTCGGCTGCTTGGCATGTCACTTCTCCTCTAAGAGCGTCTAGAATACAAACGCCAGCTTAGCAGCTTCTCGCAATCACCACCAAGCACACACATTCCAGCCTGAAAATAGCTTTCAAAACATCATTAGCGTCTAAGACTCCATGGGCATGTTGGGGTTCACCCTCTCTGATCACCTCCCTCCCCCCAAAACACACCCACACTTGACGCCTTCAGATTCCAACTTATTGGGCTAGTCTCTCTGCCACCCGGGGATGGACGTGACACAGACATTCACGGCTGCAGACAGACCAGGTTGACCAGAAACATAGATGCATGCGATGCACGGGCAGGCAAGAGAATGGGGCTAGAACATATGGAAACCAGCCAAGCCGGAGGTCACAAGTTGGTGGCCTACGGGCTGGATGTAGCCCGTGGACCTGTTTTGTTTGGCCCATACAATGTTCAAAGAACGTTTTAATTAGCTGCCAAAGTCATGAGATTTCACATAAAAATGTGGATTTCTGGCTTTTATTGATAAAATCGGAAGTCTGGCAGCACTGGCCCTGACGCCCACCTGGCTACCATGGGCTCGGCTGAGAGCTAGATGAGGCTGGAGACCTCCGTTTCTCTGGTCTCCACTGCTTCCCAGTGCCCCACAGGTGGCCCCTTCTCCGATGTATAACACCTGCCTTGTCACTTTAGGACCTCAGTGAAGTTCTATTAGGCCAATTTACAACTTCTGGAAGCCCAGAAAGTGAGGTGCTCACGTTGGAGGTGCTATGAACGCGGTGGGCATTTCCAGCGGATGCTGGAGAGCCTGCTCAGATGCCTCGCACCTTGCCCGGCTTCCAGCCCAGGGCCAACTGCCAGTGTCTGCGTCTCCGCACCTGAGGGCGTTTTCCAGAACTGTGTAGGCTGCACATTAGAGGTCAGGAGCACTGGGGAGTGCACCCCACCCTCCCAGAAGGCCTTGAGCATTGACTCATTGGGAGGGGGTGTCAATCCCCCAGCTCCCTCACCCCTGAGGTTGGTATTTTGCTCTGTTTCCCAGGTGTGCCCTTTGGGATTAGGCCCCATTGCGCACTGTAGTTGCTGTTTTAACAGCACCCTCATTTTTTTAAACTATTCTTTTTCTTTTTTTAAACATATATTTTTATTGATTTCAGAGAGAAAGGGAGAGGGAGAGAGAGACAGAAACGTCAATGATGAAAGAGAATCATTGATTGGCTGCTTCCTGCACGCCCCACACTTGGGATCTACAACCCGGGCATGTGCCCTGACTGGGAATCGAACCGTGACCTCCCGGTTCACAGGTTGACGCTCAACCACTGAGCTATGCCGGTCAGGCAACAGCACCCTGTTCATTAGCTGCCTCCACCTGCCTGTATCACTTCTCTGCCTCCCTACCAGCGTCTGCTGCACCTCCCAAATAAGCTAATGGCCCTCACTTCTTTGCTTCAAGGTCAGCATATGGGAGACCCAAACCAAGAGAGCACTGACACTGCAGAGAGATGCCTCATTCAGAAAGTCTATTGCCGCTCTCCCTTCTCCCCAGCACGGCCTCCTCTGTAACCCCAGGGCAAGCTGCTACGTCTCCTTTGCACCCAGAGGTCATCTGAGAGCTCTCTTACACCTGACCTGAAGCTTACACTGTCCATGTCCACGTCCATTTCCATGTGCATCATAACAGTCAATACCATGGTGATGTACTCATGAACCCAGCCCCTTCTTTGAGTTTTCTCTCCCTTGGTCACAGGAGGCATTCAAGAGAGCAGGATTCCTACCTGATAAGCAACCTCAGCCCAGAGCAGCAGGCATCAGCATTCCTATAACGTCCTGAGGTCACCCCCACGGGGAACGCTACTGGACCTCTGTCCCACATGGGCAGCCTCCTTCCACCCTGCTGGGTTTCTCTTGCCTCTGCTCTGCTCTCCTCTGCCCGCTCACCCCTGTACCAGCCCAGCTCACTCCTTCACCACCCAGATCGATGGACCACCCCACTCACCCACCTTTGCTCTGAATGTTGACACCAACTTTTCAGAGACCCATCCATCCACCATAAGCCTTTATCCCAGGATTTTGTCCATCCCAAGCAGTGACCACTTGCTTCACCTTGTCACGTCTGTGCTTCAAAGCAACTTCTCAGCACCTCTGCAGAGCAGCTGGCACCCTGTGCTCCTACTGCTTGCCGACACGCCTTCCACTCACCAGGCTGTGAGCCCCCTGGGAGCGGGAACCAGATCTTACCCATCCTTGTGTCTCCTAACAGCGGGTGCCTGCCTGGCCCTTAGCAGGTACTTAATTAACTGTTGTCCAAATCAACCCGTTCCATTCCACAGAGGCAACAGGAGCCAAAGCCAACAGGCACCAGAGCCAGAAATTAAACTTGACCTCACCTTGATGCCAGGGCACCTGTCTGTACAGCTCCAGGGCCACCATTCACATTATCTTCTGTGGGCTGTGGTCTGGGGGGTCCCTCACATAGAACCCAGCGTGAATGTGACCCTGGGGTTGTGTGATGCAGGGGCTCCAAACTGTTTTCTTTCTTCTTCCCTCTTCTCCCTTTTAGCTGTACGCCCCGCCCCACCCCTCGGAGCCCCCTTCCATTGCTCCGCAGGAGACCATTAAGTGCTGAGCTCCAGGCAGACAGCACTCGCCAGGCGGCCAATCCACCGGCCAGGTAGCCACCGACAAATTAAGTCCTATTTTATGGAGTGTTTTCAAGTTAGCGTGATACAGCCCAGAGGCAAGTCAGCGGACGCTCACCCATGTGCGCACCAGGCTTCTATCAGCAGCCTCCGCTCCAGGAAAGAACCAGCACACATCTATGAAAGCAGCCCGTGTTCGGCTAGAAAAATCCATCCCAGGGGATACCTTTGGTTCAGGCTCAGAAACTCGGATGCCCCTAATGGTGTGATGACAGAGAAGACTGGACACCTCGGAGGCCTGGGCTCCCAGTTGCTTTGGGACTTTGGACAAGAGGGATATCCGTGCACCCAGCCATCCACCCACATCACCGGTGCCGTCCACGGAGGCACTTGCCTCAGTCACACCTGAGCTGAGGTTTGGAGCAGAGCCCAGGGCAAGGGCAACTTCTGTACTACATTCTGCCTGGATTCCGGTGTGTGTGTGTGGGGGGTATGGTGAACAATGAGGCTGTGGGGGCGGAGGGCAGGAAGGCCCAGGCTCAGCATGGCCCCCCGTGAACAGCTGAGGACTCTGGACTCCATTCTGAAGAATGCGAAGCAAAAGGAGTGACGAGATTAAGTTTCTTCTCTCATTTTTATGGCATAACGGATATTAGAAGCTTATTCTTAATCTTTCAAATTATGTATCTATTGTAAAACACTGCTTTCGGTATTCTGTGTGTAACCAGAGGTCCTGAAACCCTCTAGGTACTTGGTTCTCTCGTGACAGGGAAGAGCCTAAACCAGGGACAATTCTGAGGGTCCGGGAGGTGAATGGAAAGCATGCTCTTCCCGCAGCCTCCCCCAACCCCGGAGCTCCTGAATCGATTAAGCAGCAGAGAGTTTGGGACGGTCCCCGGGAAAGTTCGTGGGGTGCTGCCATTCTAGATGGCTCTAAATGCTTCAGTTGCCCCCTATGCTGGGCAAGACTGGCACAACCTTGTCAGAACTACTGAGTCTGGCAGGACATGTGCCTGAGCAGAAATAAGGTTTGAAGGGGCATCCAGAGCTCATCTGTGGGCAGGGGCGAAGGTTTTCCTTAGAAAGTGATTTTGGTTCCATTTTAACACAGAGATCAAGGCACTGCAGTTCAAGGCTGTAAACACTATGAAAAGCTGCAAAAGTTCCCATTGGAACCACTGTCAACAGTTAGAGCAGCCACGGGGTGGGGCGAGGTCTGTTTAAATCCACCCATTCTCCGGTGGCCCGCGGAGAAGGCCTGTTCTTTCTCCCCAAAGATGATCCCTTGAAGGAAACATTGGCGGATAAAACAGGCGAGAATCCCAGCTCCTCCTTCCTTTCTGAGTCATGCTACTTAAACTCCAATCCATTCAAATAAAGGAATCCACTCTTAAAAGCTCACTCAATTCATGGAAATAATTCAATTTCCTCAATTCACTCAGATATGCCAGGAATAAATAAATGCGCCAAAGTGTAGGCTGATGAACATGACCCTCTAATGAAAACATCAAGGGCAGATAACAAGCATGCTAGGCTGCTATCCGTCCTCATCTCTTATCTTGTTTTTCACAACTACTGGCCTAACACGGACTCTCTGGAACATGCGCGTGCGGGAGACAGTGACCATGTCATCGCGGGGAAGAAGCCAGACATAAAACCATATGGACAGGGTTCCACAAGAGAGAACGGGTAGGAGACGATGGAGGGCATCAATTCTGCCCCGTCCCTCTGTAGGTATCTATATAGTTTCTTCTCTGGCGGTACCAACATACTTTCTAAGCCCAGACGGAAAAATATCCTAACAGTCCCAAAGGATGCTCCACGTAACAAAATAGTCTTTGCACAATCACTGCACCTTCTGAGCTATGATGCAAGTCAGCAGATGCACCAGATGGACCAAAGGCTCTCTTTCGGTGCCCTCCTTACCTTCTGCCAGATGTTGATGAAGAAGAGCTCCCGGGAAACATTGAAGGACACGTTGGCATCATAGGCATCGTCGCCAAGGTTGGAGATGGAGATGTTTATGGAGATATTCTTCACAGCCCCCAAAGCCAGATAGGGGGTTTTCTCATCAATGCTGCAATGAAAAATGAACATCCATTAATACCCTGAAGCTTTCAGCTTTCAATAATAAAACATGACCCATTGTGGGGTGGCTGCGGGAGGGGGGCAGGAACGCCACTAGCATCACAACTACAAGTCCCAGGCACCCCATGCAGCAGCCATGCATCCTTGGGTGATCAGATCCCATGAGCCTCTGTTTCTTCATCTAAGCCCATGAAAGTTCTGTCCTGCCTATCTCACTAGGCTGTTCCGGGGCTCACATGAAATCTTGTACATCCAACTTGGAAAATTATAAGACATTTAATAGCCTAGGCATAGAATCCAATCAGACATTGATTCATTAAAATATTTTTGGAGCACCTCCTACCTGCCCATCATTACTATTCTACAAGCGCTCTTGCCTCCTTGTGGCTTCAGGGCGACAGAAAACACAGACACAAAGAAGCAAACACACAGAAGCCGCACTGATGAGGTGAGCTCTCAGTACAAATGTAAAGGAAGAAAGAGAGCAAGATACAAAGATCCCTGGGAACTAGCCAAGGGAAAGTTGTGCCTGGAATGTTCAAAGGCTGGCAAGGAGACCAGTGTGGCAAAGAGGGGTGAGCAAGGGGGAGAGTGGGGAGAAATGGGCTTAGAGAGGCAAAGGCATTAGGGGCAAGCAGATCATGTAGGGCATCGCTGGGCCATCAGAAGGATCTTGGTTTGACTGAGATGGAGCCCATGCAGAGCTCTGAGTGGAGGACCAGCGTGATGACCTCCATGTTTAAAGGCTCGCACTGCCCATGATGAGAACAGTCTGTGGAGGGAGTGGTCAGAGGAAATAAGGAAGCCTGGTTAGGGAGCTCTTGCAATAACCCAGGTGTGAGAAGATGACACACCAGACCATGGCGGTAGAAGCTGAGGTAGTGAGAAGTCATATTCTGGATATGTTTCAAAGGATATGCCAACAGGTTTTGCTCATGCATGGATGAGCGGTGTTAGGGATCCTTAACAGGAGAGTCAAGGATGGCTGCAAAGATTTTAGATTCAACAACTAGAAGGGAAGAGTTGTCATTTATTGAGATGAGAAAGGCTATGGGTATAGACGTTTAGTAGGGAAAATGTCAATACTACTTGGATTTTTAAAAAGAGATGTTGAGATAGTTGGATGCCCAAGTTTGGAGTTGAAGGACGAGTCTGGCTGGAGGTATACACTTGGGATGGATTAGCTATGATCACCAGGGAACCTGTGTAGGTAGAAAAGAGGTATCATATGTAGGAGTTGGAGATGAGGAGGAGCCAGCAAAGGAGATTGAAAAGGGGTGGCGAGGGAGATAGGAGAGAAACCAAATGAGAGGGTATCAAACTGGCCACAGAAGATGTGTTTCAAGGGAGGAGTAATCGATTTTGTCAAACGTGGCAGAGAGGTAAAAATAACATGAATTGGAACTGGCCAATGGAATTCGCCATTCAGAGGTCATTGGTGATCTTGTTAAGAATGACTTAAGTGGAGTGACTGGGATGAAAGCTTGATTGGTATTGGTTTAAGAGCTGTAGGAAGAGAATAAACGGAAACTGAGTATGGTCAACTACTTGGGGGACTTTTTCTACAAAGGGGAGATTAAAATGGAAATTATCATAGTATATTTACATGTTAATGGGAAGGATCTATTAGAGAGAGAACAATTAATGATGACATGACAGGGGACAATTGCTGGATGGTTTTGAACAAATGGGGGGGGGGGGGTGGCCTCAGCTGGTATGAAGTGAGAAAGAGGCCCATATGGCACAGATGCGTTAATAGATGGCTGTTAGAAACAAGACAAGATTTCCTTACGATTCCTTCCATTTTGCAGTGAAATAAAGCTGAGTCAATGACTGGGAAGGAGAAGGAGGAGGATGAGGAGGGAACATTTGAGGGGCGGGAAGGAGGGAGATGGCAGCCCAGGAGAGTGGGAGTGAGTGGGCTACCAATGGGATGATGCTGGGGATGAGCATGATGGGGATGAGAATGACAGTGAGGAGGAGGATGACAATGTTGTTGTACATGAGATTGATGATTATTATGTGATGTGAGCTTTGGACAAGATAAATTCACATGGATGGCCAATCTTTGATTGGCTAACCAGTTAATGGAAGATGTGGTTAAGCATATGAGGGTTTGTGTAATGGACAGTTGATATTTTTGGCTACTCCACATCCTGACACCTTCCTGTGGTGTCTCAAGATAAGTGGGAGGGGCCCATCAGAAGAAAGGGTTAGGGTTGGTTGCTAAAGTGTGAGCACTAAAGTGCAGTCATGTGATCTCAGGATGGTCAAGTGGCCTCAGTGTGGTGAGCAGAAGCTCCTAACTAATGAATTTTGAGTTTCCCAAAGGCACCAGAGCCCTCTGAAATGTCTGAGGTGACCACGGAGGATTGAGAGCCCTGAAGTGGCATCCTGAGCTAAGGCTTGCCTCCTTTGTCTCGGGTAATGATGGTTCTCCAGCTTTCCTGGCTAAGCTCTGAACCAGCCTCTTACCCTTCCAATAAATTCCTTTTCTGTTTTCTTTTTAAAATATGTTTTTATTGATTTTAGGGAAAGAGGGAGAGAGAGAGAAACACTGATGTGAAACATCAATCAGCTGCCTCCTGCATGCCCCCTCTTGGGGATCAAGCCGGCAACCCAGGCATGCACCCTGACCGGAAATTGAACCGGTGACCTTTTGGTGCATGGGATGACGCTCAATCAACTGAGCCACACTGGCCAGGGCTCCTTTTCTGTTCAAATTAGCCGGCACATGTTTGTTGTTGTTTGCAACCACTGAGATAGCTAGTAGAACATGAAAGACAAGAGAACTATCCAAAATCTCAGTAGGCTAAAATACTTTGAAATACAGATGTTGGGGGGAGGAATCCTCATTACTCATCCAAGAAGAGGGGACCTCACTTTCCTGCGTGCCTGGCACGTCAACAAGAATAACATGTGCAAGGGGAGATCTGATGGTCTCGTTTTTTTGGAAGCAAGAGCTCTAAGGATCCAAACAAGATGTGAAAAATTAACTCAGAGGAAAGTTTCAAATTCCTGAATGGCCTCCAATAAATTACGACCCTGACCTCCAGCTATGTGGCAATTATTTATTATTGTTGGCCACTTTAACTTTAAACAATTGATGGGTTATTTCTGTCCTTGCGTTTGCTTTTGTAAGATTAAAGGAGTAATCTTCAGGCCTTGAGGAGTTATGACAGAGAGAGCGCTAACCTTGCTTTATCTCGAGAAGGAATTGCATAAGCCACTCACTAGTAGCTCAGTGGCCTCAGAGAGCATCCAGTTTCCAAATGGAATCTGAAACAGAGACACTACAAAAAAGCATGGACCGTGGGGCAGGGGGCTGCCTCCTTATTCCAGTTTTACTGTTCACAGCCAGCCACCTTTCCTTGTGTGTACATGGCAAGGGATCAGGCCAGGGACGCCTAACCTCCTGCCAGCCCCCAACGCGTAGACCTCTGTCACGTGATCATGCAGCAAGGCCATCCCTGGGGTCTCCAAGTCAAGTGACTCAAACACACCTCCGTGACTGAGGGAAGCCAGGCACCTTCCAGGGCAGACTGTGAACTCAGACTTCTTAAAAAGGAGGGTCTCAAAGCTGCGTCACTCCTTCTCCACAGCGAGAAGCCCAAGTATAAAACAGAACATCTCTGTTTCCAAAGCTATTCTTAGAAATGAAATGTAATTTGCCGGGTGCTGGGTACTTTCAAACATGTCACCCTTCTGAAACCTGACGACACCATGAAAGGTTCCTGATGTTAGTTCCATTTTTAGAGACGAGGAAATGGAGATGCAGAGCGATAAGGTGACTGGCCAGGGGGCTGTGCTGGCTTAGAACTCAGTGCCTCCTAGGCCTTCAAAGCCCACCCCTCGCCATCGCAGCCCATGTTCTCCAGCCCCTCATCTGCCACGCCCAGGAGGCCCTTTCGGATCTCCCTCCTGGTGAAATAAATCTCCCTGTTATGACCCCTTCCTGCCCCACGTGCTCGACTGTCCTTCCCAGCACCAACCAATGTTGTGATGACGTGTTTATTTGTGCAGATGTTTGATTAAGAGCTGTCTCTCTCCCATTAGGATCCAAGCACTGGGGAGCAAGGGCCTCTGTTTGGTTTTGCTCATTACTGAATCCCCAGTGACAGAGCTGTGCCTGGCACTCTGTAGGTGGTCAACAAACCCTTGTGCAATGAATGAATGAACACGCACACCATCCCCACAATAAGATCATCAGCTCAGCCTTTGCATTTTGCAGAGGAGGAAGCTGAGCTGTCCCCTCTGCACTCCCCCCCCCCCCCCCGCCGGAGCTACAGCTCTTATATCAATTCCATCTCGGCCGGGAAGGGCTTTGGCAAGAATATCTTTTCGTGACATCTGAAAAGAACAGGACTTCTTGAAGACCAACCTCTGACAGGACTGTTGAAAGAGTAAAACAACCAGGCACAGGGAATGCCAAACATTCCCCCTGGTGCTCACTTATTCAGTAAAGAACAATCTTTCTAATTTTCAAGAAATTGTATTCCTGGAAAAAAAAAATTCCCATTAATTTTAATTTGCTTGTGCAGTCTTGAAAGCAGGTCGTATTACTCTGAACACCTACCACTCCAATGCGCTTTGATAAGAACAGCATTATTAAGAGTCAACGTGAGAACCAACTGTAGTTTCTAGAAAGCTTATCTTACCACACATCTGGGGCCGGCTGGAAACACATTGCTCCTTTGTTATCAAAAAATAACAACTATAACTGTCCCAATACATCTCACGGCAGCTGGTTTTGAATATGTTGGCTTTGGCACCATCCACCCCAATACTCCAAATGTCAGCTGTGACTGCCACCATCTTGGCGGATGTGTGACGCCTGAGGGTCACTGTAGAATTTTTTATGTGCCCTCACTCACCCCCTCCCATTAAGAGTGCGTACCCCTCAAAGTTCCTTGTTGGGAACATGCAATACATTCCCATACCAATCATCACATGCTGAACCACGAAGGCCACTAAACTAAATTCTTCCCC